TGACAAATGTTATTACAATTTTTATCAAGGTTAGTTTTATAGTTTATCAGAAGTCCGTGAATGAGGATCTATCTATCTATCCATTTAAGAGCTGCGCTCTTGTCGGTGGAGCTCTTGCCACTCACTACGATTTTCAGCGAGTCTCTTCACCTCTTGATACGACACGACACCAACTCCTTCCTTGAACTGCCTGATGTAACTATGTCTCGGTCTCCCTCTCCCCTTCTTCCTTCTATCTTACCTTCTATTATAATGTTCATAAGTTCGTCGTGTCGTATCAAGTGTCCTAACATTTTTTCCCTTCTGTCCTCAATAGTTTTAATAATTTGTCGTTTTGCCTTAACCCTAAGCAGGACCTCCTCATTGCAGTGAATGAGGATAATAAGACAGAAACCTTTTTTTTTTACAATTTACAGATTTTTATCTCTATTCTTAGATCTGACAATATGTTAATTAAGAAGTAGGTGTTATTACAAAATGAATATAATTTGAATAAAGAAATATATATTTTTAGTATCAAATTAATAGGTAAATCAAATTTACTTTTATTTTTAGTAACGAAAATAATATTTGCCTATACTACGGGTTCTATCAATATTATAATTGTTATAAATATTACGAAATCTAAAAATACAAGTAGATACCAAAGAACCGTGTGATATTTCCTTTAAAAAAAGTTAGAAAACTTTGGGAAGGTAGGTACTCGAGTTAATTTACGGTTACAACTTACCGGCTGCGAAGTAACTTGAGCAAATTAGTTTTAAAACAAGCACCGTAAAGCTTAGCTTAGGGGAATCGGGTGCTCTCCGTTTCAGCGTTCATGTTCAGGAGTTATCATTACTTAATAACCACTTTACCGTTCTTATTATGTAGATATAATCTGAAGTTGTAACAATGACCCGCACATAGAGGTTTGCTATGTTTATTGCCAACATTATAAATATAGTTCTAGATTTTTTTCATATGGCAACCTTCTTGTTATCTTGTGTAATTTTAAAATATAGTTTGACTTCATAGTTTTATCTCTACAAGTGGTATAGATTAATCAACAATTCACTGCAGCCTATTTCTACAATATTATCAAAGCTTATAGTTTAAAATCTACAAGTTATACGGATAGGTTATATCCTAGCATAGTACATAGGATACTTTATGTATTGGTAAAGTAATTATAGAGTATTAAATAAGTGGAAATAAAATAAAAATTGAGCACGAAATTTTATGTGTATATTTTTATTTTTATTTATCATCTCTCTCTATAAATCTTATAAAATACATAAAAACATAGAAGTAGTAATGTAAGTTTATTTAATATTAAAATTAAATAACTGTGCTAAATTTTAAGAGGCAATTAGATAGACAGACAATAGAAATAGGCCAGTTCCAGTCTTAGAGACATCGAGTAAACTGACTATAGGTTAGTAGTTAGTTAATATTAAAAATTATTCCTATCACGAGGATTATCATCTTTTAAATAACGATAAGCTATTATAAACTTTAGATACCTATTAACTAAGCTCAGTTTGATTTTTTTCTAAGTAGGTATAATAAGTATAAATGACAAATGACTTAGTAAAAAAATGTTGCTATTGTATAAAAAGAACTCAATTTTTTGTTTGTGGCAGTTAAAAAACCATTAGCTTATATCATCTTTCTCACATTTTATTCTAATTTTTACTTTCATATAATTATATTCGTCCTTGTCTTTCTCGATATAGATAATAGGGATATAGATATACAAAGCTGTAGAAACAGAAGAGTGCAAGCGATCTTTTCACGGGCTATTAAATTTGCTGTTATACTTTTTTATTACTATTTTATGGTAATCACTAGTCTTTCGTTTTGTTTTGGTATAGGAATTTGCGTATTTATAGGTGTGAATCTGTGTTTTCTGTTTATTTGCATTTATATAACGAATACTAGCAAATAAATTTAATAGTTACGAAGTGACATGAAATATGTATTTATGTATAAATAAAAAGGCGAGTACTGAATAAAATATGAAAGTAAAATAATATTATTTTATGATTTCACACAACTTTGTCACACAAAGGAAGTGATAACTTTATACATACATATATATCTGTCACGCCTGCGTCCCATTAGGGTAGGCAGAAACAATAGGACATCTAAACGTCAACAATAACTTCAAACGTGACAAAATTAATTTTAAATATACATTGAAGGTAAATATATCGTATGTAAAAAGAATTATGAAAATTGTTAATTGAAGTCGAATTACGCAAACACGAACTTTCCGAAGTCGGTTGTAAATTTGAAATCGGCTGATAAATATGAAGCAGTCACTTACAAGGAAGTTTCACGTAACCAGAAGTCAAAATATCACGACAACGCAACTCAACAAAATGGCGGTAATGTATGCGATAGAATAAATTAATGCAAATGACACATACATAAAGCAAAACGAGCTATTTGCGTCATTCACAAATCGATTCAAGATTTTTTTTTTTATACGAACACATCTGATTTTGTCTGTATATATAAAATATTATTCGAATGAAACTGAAAGGCGACATTCTTCTCACTCGCCGAGTTTATGCAAATAACTAAATTTGATATAAATTTTTAAGTTACAATAAAAAAGAAAAACGTGTCAAAAATACCATCACGTTTTTGCTTATGCGTATGTCTGAACCGATTTTGATAATGTTTTGTAATTTATAAGTGTTGTCTTAAATTAATTTTGTCATAATTTATAGCTGTTTTTTTTCGGTCAATCTTAAATGATAGAATATAAATAATAAGAATTATTACCGTTTTAAATTATTGAGGCATTTTTAAATTGAACATAAATATGATTGATTTATTTAACTTTGCTTTTACTGGTAAGCTACATTTAATTCATGTGTATTAGGTACCATTAAAAAGCAACCAACAGAAAGGATGACATTTTAAGGAAGTCTACTCGCTAAATTACTTCTAAAACTTCCATAACACGAAGCAAACATTTAAGTTACAGGGGAAAAGATAAGATAATAAAATAATTACATGCATAAAAGTAGAGAAAGTATGTATTGAACAGAGTCAATTGGAGGAAAATATCTATATTTTACTATTTAGTACTCACTACTTAAGATGGATGGATAGAATGTAAAATACTTTATGTACTGATGTACGCAAGCAAAGCCGCGGGAAGCAACCAGTGAAACACAATTTAGTTGGCTCTGAATCACGAGGTAAATTGAAAAGAAACTGAGTCCTTTCACCTCGTTTTTTATAACATTCAATAAAAAAATAATATATTATTTTTTTAATATAGAGAACTAAAGACAAACTCAGACAATATATGTGACTGGAATATTTATATGACGACATATTTCTGAATCTAGCTCGATATTTGCTTGTAGGCTGAAATTTAATTATACATATATATGCATACCATATTTACGTGTCTTTCTAGAATGTCTCCTTTTACTACTAACATTCGCCTGCGATTTCGCAGGTGTGGATTTTGGAAGCGGGGGATCTCTACCAGAAAATGGAATTCTAAATTCTCGGTTTCAATTTCGTGTTTTTCTTTATATCGAAATTGGCCCACTAAATGGAACTTAACATTTCGTTTGTCATAAATCTTACTGTACTAGTTCCAAGAACGTTATTTTAACTTATTAAACATTTTTAAACGGTATGTTTTATGTGATTTTAACATCAAATTTGTGTTTCGTTCGACCCCGAAATTTCGAAATTGAAAATATTTTATGGTAGGCCTTCTGTTACTAAAACATGTAATTAAGACCTTCGAATATACAAATGTGAAAACCGCATCTAATCTGTTGCAGTATTATTAGGTATATAGAAAATTAATAATACTGCAAAAAATAAATTTATAAATACATTTAAAATAATTGTTATGACTTCTATCACGTATCAATTTTGCTTAAATTATAATAACAGAGATGGTCAAGTTACAATTATATTATATGTATATATATACATATGTAGATACTAGAAAGTAAATAAAACATCAGAAGATATTTATATAACAAACAGTGGAAATTTCATTGAAATTTCCGTTGTTTGAATGAAATGAAATTGAATTGAAATTTAAATCACATTGTTAATGTCACGTGTGCCTACTGAATATATTTTGGTGATTTTATTCAGCAACAATTAATAATCGATTTAATTTTATATTAATAACTAATTTACATATTAATGTGTAAAATACATTCTTTAGTACTTTATATGTAAAGAGGCTAGTAATTTGGGTTCACCTGATAGCATAGGATGCTTTTCGACGGTTAGTCGTAAAAAATAATAATATTCTAAATAATATGGACAAAACATTACAGTAAATACAGAAAAGAGAGCCTAGTTTTTAGATTATTCCAAATACAATTAAAAAAGTAGTTGGTCATAAATTCTTAAGCATTGAGGTAAACAATGTTTATTTATGAAACAGAGTTAAAGAGATAGGTAAATTAGGGTAAGTAAAATAGGTAAATTCTATGATTGTGCAATGATCTTTATATAGCACAGTAAATTATTTTGTAGGAAGAAGTGTAATGCAGGGTTGGTAACTAATATATAAATATGAATCAATTGTTGTTCGTTAGTCTCGCTAAAACTCGAAAACGGCTTGAACGATTTGAATATGTTTTTTTTTCTGTTTTATTCACTATAATATAGAAGTGGTTTAAAAAAATTGGAGAGACCCTAAAGATCAGTCGAAAAATCTAAAAATCAAATAGGTATTTTATATGGGAATTGTTGTTTCAGATTACTTTTAATAGATGGCGTTGTAAGTGATACGAAGTTCACCGAGTCATCAAGTACTTATAAAAAAGTTATAATTCCAAACTTTTCAGTCAACAAAATAACGATATCACAATAAAATGTCTAATAAATTGCGCTACGTATGTAGTAGCCATTTTAACGTTTTTTGTATCAGATATTTAATATCTATAGTTTATGAAACACGAAATCGAAATTCGAATTCAATATAAAAAATTTAAAAATGGAATACTGTCAAAACGTACCTTTTTCTCGGTCAGTTTCTCACACCTCCTCTGTTTGCATATCTGATGCGACTTGTCGTTGCGACATGGCGCACAGTCTCCGCAATTATCCTTGCGCTGGCAGCCTATGCACTCGCCGCATCGCTTCCTCTTCTTTTTAGTCTGTGACGCAAAGAACTGGATTAAAGTTATTTTGTTAATTTAATAGCATCACAAAACGATACCCAAAAGTACCTAGTTTCCAATTTCAAAATTCATATTTAGACATTAACAAAATAATTTCACGCAATGTTTTTTTTTTCAAGATAAAAAGTAACGTAGCATGCATACGGTGAGATGTTTTATAGACACATTAGAGAGATATAGATATACTATTTATTGTTTTCTCCAAAAGATTATTATAAGAATACACCATTACTAGAAATAATCCGCTGAGAAAACAATTTAGATTTAAAATATTTAAATTTAAAATGTGAAATCCTGCATATATAAATAAATCTTTGCTTTTTACCAGATAATATTTTGCTGCACAAAGAAAAACAGCGTTAACATAGGAATTAATTGTTTAGAAAAACAATTATTAAATTCGATTCAAAGTTAAGAGATAGTGTCGATTCTGAGACGTATTTCTCTAAACATTTTTTTTTTAAATTAGATATTTAGTTTTGTATGAAAGCGGAATCTTAATTCTAAGAACTAAATTTTGTATATTAATGCCCATAGAATAGTATTATTATTATATATATATATATATATATATATATATATATATATATATATATATATATATATATATATATATATATATATATATCATCATCATCATATCCCTTAACTGCCCACTGTTGAACATAAGCCTCCCCCTTGTCGCTTCTTACGACACCCACGGGAAAGGAATGTGTGGCCCATTCTAGATAGCCCGTGCTGAAACCACACGGTAATATAAATATAAGCAAATTGAAGACCTGCGCTTTTTAGATGTTACTTAAATCATAAGAAATATCATAGCAGAATATAAACTAGCAAATTAAACAACAAAACAACTTCAACTAAAATTCGACTCGACTTTAAAGGTTCGTTCACGTTTTTATGTTCAAACTTTATTTTCTTATTAAATATTAAAAGAAAGATAATTTATATATTAAAAACTGTTTTTATAAAAGCTCTACTGAATACAATACTGAAGAATGATGAAGAGAATGACTGAAGATAATAACGAACTTTGTTAGTTATGAACGATGAAATAATGTTAATGGATTACTTTGTAGATTTATATGTACTATATTTTATACCATAAAGGTGGCAAACAAATATACAGCCCGTTTCATGGCGAAAGCTCACTGAAAAAACTTTAATACGCTTTTTTTAACAACTCCATACTGTAAGATACGTATTTGATTTTGGATTAGACAGCATTTAGTAGTAGCTTCGAAAGCTTTAAAAAATAAAACCCCATAATTGGATCAAAAGTACATGATTAGCTCCATTCATTTCTTACATCAGAAACTTCTAGAAACTCGCTATAAATGAGTGTTGAAAATAGCTTAACATTTTTTTTTCTAATTATAAATTTGAAATATTAAATTTCATCTGAATTTTTTAGGGTTTAAAACAATTTTAAAAGGTGCTATTAAAATTTTATTAATTGGTGATTTTTAGTTCCAAAGTTTGAATATTTATTATTTAATCAGGCATAATGCAGGAGAGGTTTGAATGTAATTTGACAATTTGAAGTACTATGTTCTTAATTAATACTGTTTTTTTTTTAAGTATTTCTAAGTGACTTCTTATGTATTATATTTCTTTTATAAATTAAAACTGTAGTGTAAGAGTATTGATCATAATAAAAACATTCAATTAACGGCCAGACAACAATTTGGGTACATACTGCAGTCATTTTAATGACTCGTCTCGGTTGTGCGCCGGCGCATTCAATCGGAGCGACTGACTGCATTCTACTTGCAACTCTTTGACTTGAACTCTTTCTTGTCCTTGACCATAATTGATGTAGTTGTAGTCGAATAAATAAGAATCGAGATTTCGTTTCCCTGCTTTCATTTTTTTTAATAAAAAAACTAACGTGCATGTTTCTATTGCACTAGTAGAATTTAAAACTTTAGTCTCCTAAGATACTAATGATTTATATTTCAACCGTAATTTCATTAATTTGTTTAAGGTCGTAACCATTTACCTTTAGGAATACAATTATGAAAATCACATCTAATTTAGTGCAATTTTGTTCTTATTAAGACGTACATTTTTCTTACATATTTCACATATACAGATATCGGTAAGTTATAATTTGTATTATAAGATGACAAGTATTTTCTAATTGCATTCAATAAAAATTTAGACGTGTAAATTACGAAGTTTACATACCTAAGTGAAAGATATTGTAACACGAATGTAACCATGCTATGTAACAAGTAAGGGAAAAGAGTTAATTTCATGCAAGCTTTTATATTTATGCATTATTTTACGGAATTTGAATAAGTTTCCGCCTGCAAAATGTGTAGGTAACAGCTGTGACGCAGCAAGAGGAGTGTTGTACTCGTACCGCCATTTTTATGGTGTAATTTCATTCGTGCATGCCTCGGTTATCTTCGGTTGCAATCGGAACCAACCGATCGTAGTCCCGGCCAACAGCTGACGAAAATTTTAAAACAGAACGTAAACTGTTTTTGTTTAGAAAAAAAAAGAGGATAGAAACATTTTTTAACGGCAGACGCGTTTTTTTGTCTATGCTAGCCTATTGCCTCTAAAAAACATACACATTTTTAAAGTTTGGTGTTAACTAGCTCTTATAATCTTTCTAATTTAATGAATTACTTTATCTACGAGACCTCTTAACAAATATTACAGATGGATGTATTATAGTTAATTCTTTTTTTTTAATAGCCATAGATTACAAATTAACTATGTTTCATACTTACAAAAAGTATTTAGTTTTAGTAAAGGTTTTCAACCCTTGCACGATGTAAAAAGGAGGGGTGTTATGTCTCTATGGGTATATTCTTTAGCATAGTAGATCGTATAACGAACCCATTTAGGTTCTTTTTATAGTGAATTGCAATTAGGATTGTAATCAGTATGTTGTAACATTAGTAGCATACCTCTTAGAAATTTGGCGATACGATAAATATTATTTAGCTAATCATTTAAAAAAAAAACAGTGTAAATATTATATTATTATTATTAAGTTTTAATTACTTATTATGTAAATTTCATGATTTTTTTTTTCATTTATATAGCACAAACAGTCATTACATTTATAATTAGGTATTTACTATATAAAAGTTAGGTGTATTTTTTAAATTATAAACAATTATAGTGATAGTAAAAAATACTTATCTGTAAAAATACATATAACTTGCTAATTATCATTACTTTTTCGTATAACACTACTTTACGATTCGATTGATCACTAAATAAAAAAGAATGTACAATTTATTTCTCGAATAAAATAAAACAAAAATTATATAAATATTTTTTACACAACTAAGAATGGCAAACAAGCTGATGGAAAATGGTTACCGTCGCCTTACACATGTACACACTAAATGTCACATTATTATATTTTATTGCAGTGTAGATTATAATATTCGTATCTATAGGTAATACTAATTATTAATTTTATACAACGATCTGATAAAAATACTGGTAATAAGTAACATAAGAAAAAAAAAAGAATCAAAATCTCTAAGCTTAAGCAGGCTCACAGATGTCTTTAATATCGACTAATGAAACTAATGAGAATGACATTCAAATATTTAAAAATAGAACACTTGATAAATTCCTGTAAAGGTGTACACGTATATTACCATCTGTGTAGTATGAAAAATAGTATTAGTGTTGAAACACAAGCATTTACTCTTAAATAGGCTATTATTATCCCGACAAAAAAATAACAGATAATTAGATAAGGTATGCTTAATTAAATAATACATTGGTCGCATTTGACTGTAATTATTTGGAATTATATTTACTAAAGGATTTTTTTTCAATTTAATCTTTAAGGGGTATAAAAATGTCGTGTCACGGTTTTTTGGTCGCACTTTTCCGAAATGCTGGCCATCTACTTAGGTACCTCTTCTCCATTCGTGTTTCTGGATGTATGGAAAAGATATAATGGTGTGATATATTATATATATTTTTTATAGTTTTACATATTAATATGATTTGTTATATGTGTCTACAGAAAATATTATTGAACTATAGTTTTGCCCACTTACCCTTGTTACATTGTTCTAGGAATTACCATGGTTTTCCCTAACGCTGACTCATTCGTATGGGTAGCTGGCATTATTATGTATATCATTAATCTATGACTATCAACACAGAATATATTTCAATGATTATTCTGTTTACATGTTACAAAAGGAATGAACCTACTCCATTTTATTACATGACACATGACAAGTAATCCATATTTTTAAATATTAATTAACTTATAATAAATATTGTATGTTTAAATGACTTCAATAAGAAAGTTTCCAGTTCATCAATATTTTTGTGTTTATCTTACGCAAAATCTACGACTATTAACATAGAATATACTTCAATGATTATTCTGTTTTAAGTATAATTCTTTGAAGGGAACAACAGTTTTCGTTCATTCATTCAACAATTATTCTGTTTATATGTTGCAAAAGGAATGAACCTACTCCATTACATGACACATGACAGATAATCGCTATTTCGAATTATTACTTATTTTATAATAAATATTGTATGTTTAACCGACTTTAATAAAGAGGTTTTCAGTTTAACAATATTTTTGTATTGATCTTGTACTAGTATTGTTAGAATTGATTACTTTTTTTTTATTGAATGCATTTATAAGTAACTTTAATTAAATATGTAACTTATATAAACATAATTTATGCCTTTACAAGGGAATACTGATTTTCTACAATTGATGTTTTTATTACTACATTATAAAATATTAAATCTAATATTTTTTTAATCAATAGATTTTTAATTAAACAGGCACTTACAATTAAATATGTAATTAAAATAAATATAATTTATAATTCACATAATTAAAGCTTGTTTTCCACAAAAAAAAACCGACTTTAATTGTGGCAAAATTAGTTATTTTGATTTCAACTCTGAACTACTGAAACGATTTCGATAAAATTTTCATGCGATTAATCTGTAAGTGTTTTCTTTCAAATAAAAAAAAGAAAAATATACAACCAAACTGAAAACGTCATTTATGTTGAAGTTAAGTAGTTGAAGAAAGTAAATTATTTAATATAATCAACATAGTTCGAACCATATTTCTTAGTGTAATTGTAGTTGTTCCGTTACTGTGACTAGAGTTGGACTATTTATATTGTTTCCGTTAAACATTATAGATATGCAATTCGTAGTTTAATCGATTTCAGCAATTATTTTTTTTTCAATTACCAACTCGATTAACTGATCGACATTTGCTTGTTTAATCAACTAATGTTAAAAATAGCCAATTTATCCACCACCACCGGCATCCTATCCACTGTTTTGAGTTATTTAAATTCAAAAGATCTTCGTAAATTGTAGAAGCCTAAATTGAAATTGAAATTTAGAAAATATCATTGCAAGTAAATATTTTATTAAGAACTACCTACTTATATTAAATTACTTTCATTATTTATTTTAATATTTACTTTTATCATTTATAAGATTAACCAATCAACTAAATTAATAAACAACAATCAAGATCATTAAACTCGGGAACTTTTTGTCGTAAAATATATGTAAATACAATATAAATAGAAAAAATCTAAAGCAATTTTTATTGAATTAATTCGATGTTGTTATAAGAACGCTATGACTCTGCCAACATTTTTATTTTTATTATATCTATTTTATTGTATTAATGAATAACAAAATAATAATACCAACTTCGTTTAAATTTTACAAATGTCGAGAAATTTATTTGATCTTTTCAAAGAGTATAAATTATTTTAAATTTACATAATTTTAAGTTTCTTTAAAGTTATTTTTTCTGTAATACATCAATATTAATATTAAAGAGAGTTTATATTTATAAAAAATATACCATAACGATTTATATAACGAGCTCGTAAGTTAAATACATTAAATTAATTCTTCTATAATATAAACACCTTTAACAAATCTAATTATTAATGAAGTTGAATTCAGATAAATATGTGGTGTATAACTTTAACTACTCTATCTAGGATTACAGTTGTCATTGACTTATTTTTTTCTTTCTTTTTTGTACGAGTATAACTTAGACTGTTAAACGAGCTAACGGCCCACCTAATGGAAGTGGTAACCATCGCCTATAGACATAAATATATGGACATAACAGACTATACTGTGCCACCCATGATACCCCTCCTGCGCTGTACTTTCTAAGGACTAAAGTGTTATGCCTCTGTATTCTGTTATTTGCGTGGCGACTAAGAGAGGGTGAGGGATAGGCAGCAGCGTTCCTCTTAATCTTCAAAGCATAACTGTGGTTGCCAATCTGTCTGCCAAGCGTGGCAACTACTGGCAAAACCCTCCTAGAGGGAACCATATGTAATGTGATGACAAATATGTGATATATAAAAATATGTGATGATGATGACCCTGTTATTTCATTGCCATATTCCACTCTTCGAACCGAAACACATATTATTATATTATCTTATGTTTTATTAATATTTTAAACGCTTGATAATTTAATTACATATTTTTTTTATTGCAACTGGCTGCAAAATGTCTTAGTGTCTAAACAATAGTAAAAATAACGTTGAAAGACGGTAATTAGAGAGGCGCGCATAGACACGTAGTGCCAGCTGCTCGCAAAGGTGTTCGCTCGTGTTATTAGACTAGGAAACGTTGACATTTATTGTACAAGAATGCTGTCCCAGTATGGACCTTTCCCAGGTCTTAGATGGGTTTTTTATCACAACCCGGTTACAATTATAAAGTATAGTATGAAAAATGCTACAAAGAAATACCTAGCATCACAAAATAGAGGCATTCTATTCAAGTTTGCCTATGGTTGGTGTTGTTTTTATAATCTTGTGTAATTAGATACAATTGACACTGGAGAGTGGAATAGTAACAGAAATTACATTATAACATCAAATAACGTGATCACTAATTAAACGAGAATAAACGATAATGTGGAAAGCTTCAAAACTGCCGCCTAATTGCACTCGCTGTTAAATTTGAATGAAAGTCATAAAATTTTCTAAGCAGGACACGCGTAAATCGCCCGACTTTAATTTGTGTTTTAAACGGGAGAGGAAGTTAATTTATTGGTGGAGCAAGAGAATCGGCTAACTATTAAATTTATAGCCGCGAAGACAGAGAGTTCGGCCATTTCGAAACTCGGGAGCGGGAATAAAAACTGCTCCCCGAATAATAAAAGGTGGAATTACGGCGAAAGTTTCTCTTTTTCGGGATTTCTCGTATATCCACTTTCTACGGGCTGTAGTCGGATGAAATTCTGAGAATTCTCATATCTTTCGTCGAATATTCAGTCAGCTTTTCACGATTCCCCGGAGTCTTGTTTACGCAATTCTCCGATTCGCAGAAAGGGAGATTAGTTGTTGTGTCTGATTTTATATTGTTGCTTTTGAGTGTGCTCCATTATACTGTGTGTTGTTTCAAAATTAATTCCAATTAATATATTACAATATAATATTAAAATGGACATCGCAGCAAGAAAGTCATTTATATGATTCATCAAGAGAAGTCGAGTCGAATTAATGAAAAGTAAAAACATCGTTATTCTAATAAATAAGGCCAATTAGTAAATACATAATGGAGATCTTACCTGTTTTTCACTGGATATGTCGTCGAGCTCCATGGGCCCGGTTGCCATGGGCGGTGCTCCGTGCATTGGTGATTTGAAGCCAGCTGTAGAAGACACCGCAGCAACCTGTCCACTGCTTTCTGAGCCTACTTCCATATTGGATCCATCTGACTCAGAACTATTTGCACGCATTTTCCGCCGTTCTTTCTTTCTAAAATCAGATCTCGTCGGCGAAGAACCGCTACCGAAACCGTTTTTCTTTTCATATCCGTTATCTATTAACATTGGATTCTGGAAATTGCTATGATGTAACCCATTAGGAGTGTACTTATCCTGTAAAGCTTTAACATCAAACGGTTCATTTTTTAACACGTGCACAACCGTCGGGCTTTGTATATTCTGTAATAAACTCCCATTCTGATGAATAATTGTCCCATTTTGGTGTAATATACCATTTTGTGTTGGAAATGCATTTATTGTGGCGATGTTTGGTTGGTACAGTTGTATATGTCTATCGTCGATATAAGTCTGACCGGCTGGAGCAAGTTCCCTCGCTTGAAGTGGCGCGGGGATAATTGGATAACTTCTAGCATTTACAGCCGTTAGAGTATGGAATGTGGTTGCATTGACAGGTGATAACGTTGTAAGTGTCGTTGACAAGGGAGTTACTTGCGCTAATGTTGTTAAATGCGCTGGTGACGACGGCGTGGTTAGTTGCGTGAGTTGGGTTAACTGACTAGGACTCGCGCTAGGCGTCGGACTGGCTGTGACCGGCACTGGGGTTACGCTTGGCAGACCCGTTTCGGGGATCACAGTTGTTTCTGGAAATGTTTGGAATTGGCTTTGGAAGGACGGCAGCTTGTTGGGTATTGGCTGCAATGTGACCGGTTGGTAGTCAAGTGAGGCGGAGAATCCCGCTCGTAGGATAGCGTCTTTTGAGTTCAGCGGCATCGACTCCCATGGTCTATATTGTGGTTGACTGGCTATAACAGAGACAGTGTCGCCTGTCCGTTCATAGTACTCCCAGCCTGGATCGAGGAGGCGGCCGTCAGCTGTCAGTATGCGTTGTTCGTTGTCTGCCATCTCGCCGAATGTGGAAAACGGCGGCAGGTGCGCGCTCTCCGCGCCTGCCTCGCTGCTGAGCGTTTCGCTCATGACGTTTTGCCACGACGATGCCTCATCGCGTTCATCTCTTATGCTTTATACAAAAATAAGCTCTACTAAGTCTATTGTTGTACTGAACACTCGGAACTGCACTGGAACTTATTAATTTGTACTCTATGACCTGGCTCCGACAATTTGTTATAGTCCGCGATACTTTATTATAGCACTTAATTTATGGTTATACGGCACACTGGTTTACACTACACTAATCACAATATCTTCGTTTGCCCACTAAGAAATAAATAATGTAAAAAATCCTTTATAACAGGCAGTTAAACTTACACAAGTCTTACGAACTATGGGTTTATAAAAATCTTTGGCTGACTTTTTAGAAAATGCTCGAGGAATTGTTTCGTTATCAATGTATGCAACGATCGATAAAATATTTTGTGCACTCGTTTAACGATTTCTATTATTTTGGAACGTTTAAATACTGGTCGTTGATAGATTTCTTAATCTTTCGCTCGTTTGAAGGCTTCTTTTTATTGTAAATACCGATCACTCAGACTTAAATTAATTTGTACTGTTTGGGAGTAGCGTATACTATTTACGATTTAGCTTTGTTAACGTTAAAAGGTTAAAAAAATAGTGCTTATATTTAGATTTTCGAAACGAAAGATATGACTGGAGGCTTTGGTTTGAGGATTTCGTGGCTTTTGGTTGTTTATTTTCTTCTTCAGTTGCGATGACTTGTGTGGAGGTCTCAGTAGATGTTATCCGTACGGCCTGGACCAATCTGTAAAAGAAAAATAAATATTAGAAAATATTTATAAATTGTCAAAAAAATCGAAAAATAAATCTTTGGGACTCAGTGGATAGGGCTTGTGTTCTTAATATTCAGTATATAATACAAAGATGCACTATGAATTTTAGAAATCCCTTTTTAAATCAATAGATAAACCTAGTTCTTATACAATTTATGGACACTATGTATACATTGTGCAAAGTTCAAGATCTGTACAATATTCTTGGCTGTCGTGAACTTTCTGTATAAGAAGAAAGGTAAAAGGGAAAGTGTAAGGAAATTGTAGAGTTATGGGTAGACTTGGACATGTTTACTGCGATGTCGGCGGCGCATGCGTACGCGAATGTTTTGAATCGAGCGCGAATCGATGGCGCAAATAATCGACCATCGCGAATTATTCGCATTTGTTTGTTGTTTTCGGTTTGCAAATGTATTATTGCATATTGTTTGCAAATGTAATGTGTTTTGCAATGTGAAACAAAATTGTTTTGTACAACAAAGAAATGTTTATGTGACTAATTATATTTTAATTTCACTATTTTAGTCACAACGGACGGTGAAGGAAATTGTTGGAGTGGAGGTCGTGTACAGACAAACGCTCTGTGGGTTGATTTCTCTCATGACAGATAGGTAGAGAAGTTTGAGAAGCAAAATGGATACAAAAAAAAAAAAAAAAAAAACAGAAGGCGGAATTGGATAATAATAAAAGTAATGTTGAAAGAAACCTTAACATTAGCAGTAGATCGGAATAGAAATAATGTAATAATGAATCTATTTTTATGTAACACTTTTGGTTGTCAGGCATTCGGTAAAAAATAGATAAAGTATCGTTCATGCATTTCCAAACTTAATGACTTGAAGCTTTCAGTTACATTACTCAGTAACTTGCCATATCAACATGCAAACAAGCTGTTTAGCAACAGAATTCATTGGTTACACACTGCTGGCTACCTGTACAAGCGACTTTACTGTTCTCGTTTGACTTTTAAATTTATATTTTTTTTTTATTATTAAGAAATTTAAAGATGTATCACATCATCAACATAAACATTGACATTCCGATTAAAATTAAATTAAAAAGGGAAATTATGGAGAAGTATAGTTTACGCAAAATAACCCATAATCTGCGGTCGCAAAATCCATTATCGCTTGATGCCGCATCCAATGCCAGTCGAGTAGGCATCGCAAATCGGTCGTGCCATTACAGGCAGTAGATAAAGAGTTCAGGCGATAATCACGTTGTTCATAACGTTGTGACGTCACGCCTACCTCGACCTGACCTGGTTATACTGTGCGTAGTATGTCTAGCTGGTTGGTTGGTTGTAAATTATATTTATAAGCGCAGAAAAAATTATATATTATTTATTTTTTATTGCACAATAAAATTTGTACAAATGCCGAGCTTAATGCCGCATGCAACATTCTCTACTAGCTGTTTGGTAAAAACAGAAAGCGTTTGAAGGCAGTGGCGGTGAAGATACATGACATAAAAATATATATTTATCTATTAATATAAATTAACATAATAATAAATATAATATCGAATAGTAATATGTTTAAATTCAAATCAACTTTAGTCAAATAAAATTGTTTACAAGCAATTTTAAATTGCCATTCTTTTTTTAAATTTACTGCAAGGTTTGGAACGTTGTTATCTGTTGAGAAGAGCCCGCAAGAAACTCAACAGTACTCTTTTTAAATAGTGTTTTTAAAAACAGTCTGCGGAATAGATAAAAAAAATACTCATACATAAAGGATACAATGAAATTAAGTTACATAATTAATAACTACAACTAAACAAATCTTAAAAACAATTACGGTATAAACCATCAAAATTGGGAAGCTTCAAAACTTGATGGCTACTCTAGATATTTTGATACTTCGTAACATGGTAGCAGCACGGATCATATACGAGAGTAAACATAGTCTATTATTAGAAAGGTACGCTAATAGTAAAGCTACGCTCTATTTCGGTTGTACTATTTTAGGGGTAACTATTTTTGTGATGTTACAATTTGAAACTGTGTCTTTTCCCATTGATCGATATGCGATAAGGCAGCTTTCATAGACAACATTTTTACTTAAAATTTTTTGTAGGTAAATAATGGGACTAGAAATAAATTTGATAATCCATTCCTATGCCCATTATTTTTACATATATATAATATTATAAAGAGCTAACATTAGATTATTTTATATATCTTTTATTATAGAAAGCAGTATTATCAGCATAAGTAACATAGGCCATATATTATTAAAAAAAAATTTGAGTTCTCTACGAAAAGTATAATAACTTAAAATGCCTATTAAAGTTAATATAAAATACTAATTTATCTTTCTATTTATTTGCTCATATGAAGCCGGGATGGATCGCTAGTCATATATATTTTGTTATTCTGTAGTATAGATGACATTATTGTCTATAAAAAGCCATGCTTGAAGCTTATCTAAAAATAATACAACAATTCCCCACAACAATAAATAGTAACTGTCTATCAAGGAATTTATATATATAACCTTCTTATTTATAGGTGAAACGAAACGTATCCAATGAAAAAGAAAATAAAAGATTCTATATTTAAATATTATTCATGAATGGAATGAATCACGTGTTTCTGCAGATATGATAGATCTAAATACGAATCTATTATTGAATTGACATTTTTTACCAGTCGTGTTCTTGTCATATTTTACCAAGTATAATTATAAATGCTAAGTATATTTTATTTATATCGAATCGATATCGTTTGCAGGACTTGTGACGTCAACACAGTGCTTTATTTAATAACACGGTTGGAATGTAGTCGTTTGTCAAAAAAGAATGTTTCAATTTCAGCTAAATTAAGAGCGTACGTACACAGCACTAATATATATATAATATACACAAAACATAAGTACAGATAGTATGATGATCCGTCTGCCAAGACCTTTTTCTTCGGAACGCGTGGAGGTATCATATACTCAGGTTTGCAATTTCTTAAAGTAATGAAAAACTCAAGCTTTTAAATCGACGCAATCAAAATACGACTGTTTATGTTCCATTTGTATCACATATTTTTACAATTGTAAAGGGAATTAAAACCTATAGGGTACTTCTCGTTGACTTAGAATTATAAAATTTAGCAAGAAGCAATTTGCAAAAGCACAAGTAAAGGAAAAAATCCGAAAACCATAAATTAGTAAAAAAAAAAATTACCTTGAATTAAAAAAAAAATAACAGGGTAACATAACACCTCAGTCCTGAGATGAATTTGACACTTTCTTTGAAATTGAACATAAGAGTAAGATATAAAACAGTTTAATAGCTAAAATACGTTTATGAGAGGGATATTCAAACATTATTAATATTAAAATTATAAATAACATCAGTGTTTATACATTTATTTTAAATGTATAAAAACTATATATTTTAAGTGTATATGGTTCCAGTGCTACTTCGCTACCAAAGGTTCTACCATGAAAAGTTTTTTTGAAATTTCCAGGCCGAACAAAAGAAAAATTTTATATACAAGTAAATGGAAATGTTAAAATCCGGTCTTTTAGACTTTTAGGGTTATAATGAACAAAACGTTAAGCTCCATTCACTAGGTCAATTTCGGTATAAACGAAAACACGTCAATGAATCCGAAAATTTAGAATTTCATGTCATGATCGACCCCCACTTGATCACTTCGACTCGATCGATCACTTTTAAATGATTATTGAGAGTTAGGTAAAATTTAATACTATGTTTGAAGTTTTTGACAGGCAATAATAACAGAGATTTCTAATTCGACTGAACGAAACTACTACAACATTTTTTAATTGTCACACTAAGGTAGAGGCATCCTGAATAATTACAATAAGACTTTTTTCATGAAGGTTTAAATAAAAAACGTATTTACCAATGTAACTCTTTTTTTCTGGAACGTATTGAATATTGAATTGAAAAATTATGCAATTACCGTCTACGAACACCTTACGAACGAACCTTATTCATAAAAACTAAGACGTTGCACAAACCTATTTAAACTATTAGAGTGTTTGGTCACTGTCTTTCAAATTGAGAAATTAACGCAAAAGAAAGGAGCAAAATATTTCAATAACTAAAATAAGTTTATAAGAGGTTTGACATTTTATGAATAGGGGGTAATTCTGCACAACAAAAACATTTACAATTGGAATGTTTTTATCACCACATTTATCCCTTTATTCATAAAAACGTCAATGTTTTCATAAAATCTATTTTAGTTATAGAATTATTTTGTATTATTTCTTTGTGCTAAATTCCCAATTTAAAAAGCGACAAAATTTTGGAATAGTTAAAATAGGTTTGTACAGTAGAATCTCAATTATCCGGATATTCGATTATCCGGACAAGACAGGACCAATCGGTTCTCATACAGTTGTGACAACCGAAGCGCATTAGGGACTTGGCCGCAATGAAAAGGTGTGATTCATTACGTTAAAAATTAATAACTAATTATTCCTAACCAAAATTTTAAATCACATTGGTATTATGTAATCTATTATTTCTATAGCTCGTATTTTTTATATACTATATTGTCTAAATGATACATGTACGATAAAACCCTTTACATAATAAAAAAAATATTAAAATTTAATTATTGTTTGATTTGACTTTGAAATTGATTATCCGGATTTTTTATTATACGGAATTCTTTTTTTATTCGAATAATTGAGATTCTACTCTAGAATGTTTTAATTTTTATGACTAAGGGTGTTAATATATAAAGATCATCCAAGTTCAAGGTTGCATAGGATTGATTGATATCCATAACGTCTGGCTCGACTCAACATCAAAAGATGTCTTTTGTTTAGTTTACAAACAGGGACTTTAATTGCAATGAGCTTGTTTTCATTTTTTTTTTTTTCTCGAATACCTTCACAGATTTTCGTTTCGAAAAAGTTTCAGAATCAGTAAATATGTTATGTCTTTTTTGGCAGCAAAACGTTTTTATTTAATATTATTTACATAAATAATATAGTAA